ACCTGGCAGGAGTCCTTGCCTCCCTCCAGGAATCCAACGCAGATCATGTTGGAGGTGATCTGTCCAGGGTAGGCGTTCCTGCAGCTGGAGTCACTCAGGATGGGGGCATCCAGACACATGAGCCTATCAGGGTAGTAGCCTAAAACAACCAGATAAAACACACATGACTATTCTTTCCCACCACATCATACATGTAACTTTATCGCTGATACATTTATACAGATTCACTGACTTCCAGAGCTGCTGGTGTTTCCCCATCCAGAGATCAGACAGGAAGTGCCGGTGCCAGCGCAGGACGAGGGCAGAGACACGGTTTTGACGTAGCTGTTCACGGTGGCGGGCTTGTTCAGCTTGATCAGCATGATGTCATTGTCCAGGTTGTAGCTGCTGTAGTTGGGGTGGCGGATGACCTTGGCTGAGTCGATGAACTGCTCTGTTCCCTCATTCACAGCAATGTTGTGCTCTCCAAGTCTCACCTGGATACGACTGCATGACAAGATAACCACCATCAGAAAGACTAGAAGCAACTGATGCTTTGAATATGACCCCGCAGCACTGTGTAATATGACATTTATCTGAGTGTAGTACTAGTTCCTGGACTTACGACTGGTAGCAGTGAGCAGCAGACACCACCCAGGTGCTGGAGATCAGGGAGCCTCCACAGAAGTGGTAGCCAACGTTCAGAGACGCAATGTAGGGTGCAGAGTTCTTCCTGCACTCGTAGCCTCCAACAATCTTGTCATCCTCAATGGGAGCAGCATCTGGAACATAAACAATTTCATTGAATAAGAAAACCTTTTAAAACATGGTAAGAATCAATAAATTCACTACAGAAACTCACAAGCTGCAGCAAAGAGAGCCAACAGGATGAAGTACTTCATGATTGTGTCCTGAGCCTGGGGAGCCTGCACATAACAGGGGTGGTTGGGCAGGGTTTATATAGAGGTAAACTCCTTCACCGCTTTTTATCGAATACTTTCTCTCAAGGATTTTTCCATGTACTTTGCACAGTGATTAAATATTATCCCCCCTGGGAAATGGCATTGTGGTCCAAGATAAAAACACCTGGACTTTCATGTTTCAAGTATTTTTAAACTAATATGCTCCACAGCCATCAGTATACTCCTGAATTAAATACTATAGGGTGAAACTCTAACAAGACAAAGTTTTACAAATGTGTTTAAATGCATTTTAATGTTATACTACTTAAAATAATCCTACATTTTTTTTCAACTGAAGAGCTTTTATTGGCCGAGTATGTAATAACTTTTATAATTACATATCGATTACACATGATCACATAATTTTATTATACATTTTTGTTGTAATCAAAGCAGTAACGAGTTATTATGGATTAATCCAATGACTCTTATCTTGTATGATTTTTTTTTAGTTTTGAAGTAATTTAAAACTGTTAGTTTGTTTGTTGTTATTACATTTTGTCTTATTTTATTCCATTTATTAATCTCCTGAAACATCAGGATGTAAAAACTTAAAAACGTAAAAAATGTAAAACATAAGAAATTAGAGTTTAAACTACAGTCAGCTCTTGTGCTATGAAAGACTTTAATTCCCTGAAATGTTTATTTGGCTGTGGACTAATTTCTTATCTTTGCATGTTCAGATCAGTTGCTCTGCTCTTATCAAAGACTTTCCAGGTTTCAAGGAACTTGACATGAAATCTGGATGCTGTAATTCTCAGTAGTTAGAAAAGGGCTCAGATGTTCTTTTATTATTAATAATAATAATAATAATAATAAATTAAATTGAAGACTTAAGCAGAAAAATAGCAGAAAACACTAAAATGGAGTGTTTTTAAACAACAAAATTTATGCAGATGTAGAAAATAATACAGATTAGAACTATGTTTGAAAGCTGAGTACAAAGCAAAGGACTATTTAAAATATGTTTGTGGTTAGATATTCAGTTTTATTAAACTTTTAAAGGGGTTTGCTTTACATCTATAAAAATGACACATTTTATAAAATATTTTGAAAAATTGTCAAATTAAAAATAATGAACAAGTGTTTGTATTTATACAGTAACATCTGAAATATGAATTAACATTATGCCACAATTTGCAATAGACTGCTTTTTCCAGCAAATGAGCATCCAGAAAGCAAACAGTTCATCCATCCATCCATCCATCATCTTTACCCGCTTCTTGCTTCCATGTCCAGCAGTCACTGTGTGAGTGGTGGGGGACACTCTGGACAGGTCTCCAGTCCATCACAGAGACGCATAGACAAATGAGACAAACAACCATTCACTCTCTCACTCACACCTAGAGACAATTTAGAGTTACCAATCAGCCTAACATGCATGTTTTTGGTCTGTGGGAGGAAACCGGAGCACCCGGAGAAAACCCACGTATGCATGGAGAGAACATGCAAACTCCACCCAGAAGCCCAACAAAATAAAGTCTGGTCCTCTGGATGGTTTCATTTTTTGTTGAAACGTTTTATCTTTCATCCAAAGAACTTCATTAGTCTGAGGAGCCACAACAAATTCAGTCCCCCAAGCAACACATAGTGGACCAACCAGTTTGATGGTGATAAGCTGGTTACCTGGATTCACCAAAGTTCATGCTCAATAATTCAGGTATAAAATCCAACAATGTTCAGTCAGGTCATCTGGACGGTTTCTATTTTTAAGCTGAGACGTTTCGTCCTTCATCTAAAGGACTTCTTCAAACTGAGTAGCCACCAAACGAAACTGATTCCCACAAACAGCATACTCCATAGTGAAAAAAAACCAACCAGTTTGCTGGTGCTAAGGTGACCTCTGGGGCCCACCCTCTCCCCCATTAATTCCTTTGAGACGGCCATGCCAAAGTGGTTCAAAACACCAAAATTCATGCTCAATAATCCTGAATGATGACTGAACATTGTTGGATTTTATACCTGGATTACTGAGCATGAACTTTGATGTTTTGAACCACTTTGGCCATGGCTGCTTCAGACAAGTCAGCGGGGGAGAGGATGGACTCCATACTACAAATCTTTGAAATAAGTTCTGCAAAACTATGGCAAATAACTTTGTTAATAATAAATCATCCATTCATCTTATGTTTTAGCCTCTTCTTCCTTTTTGGATCACGGGGGTCACTGGTGCCCATTTCCAGCAGTCACTGTGTGAGAGACGGGGGACATCCTGGACAGGTCTCCAGTCCATCACAGGGACACAAAAAGACAAATGAGACAAACAACCATTCACTCTCTCACTCACACCTAGGGACAATTTAGAGTTACCTATCAGCTTAACATGCATGTTTTTGGTCTGGAACCGGAGCACCCGGAGAAAACCCACGCATGCACATCGAGAACATGCAAACTTCACCAGAGTCCCCCGGCCTCGATTCGATCTGGCAACCTTCTCACTGAGAGGCAACAGCTCTACCAACTGAGCCACTGTGCACTTTATAAGAAATAAAAAGGGAAAAAAATTGCCATTGATAAAAAACTAAATGTTTAAGTAAATATATGTCTTTGCCTTTTTTTTTTTTTTTTTTTTAACAAAAAAATACCACAAATAAACATCCAACAAACCATCCTAATGTTTACGTTTAGTCGCATCATTTGTTAGGATGCAAGTGAGTACATTATAATTTCTAAGTTTATAGCACTAACTTTCCACAGATACGTAGACAAGACTCATGTGAGCTTGTATAGTTCAATGTTTGAATTTTAACAACAAGAGTCTGGTCCTTTTCCTATACAATTTAATTAATATAATAATATGCAAAACAGCCAATAAATATTAATGTACATGTATTACCTTTCATTTTATATTCAAATAAGCAATGGTTTTAATATGCAGACCCAGTAAGGGGTGTTTTATTTATTTAAAACTTCAAGTATGTTCTGCAGCTTTGAATAAGTTGTAAGTAGAAAGAGGAGCAGAAATGACTTGATTATAAAAGTTGTAGATTGCTCGATTTATGATGAATCGGAAAAAAATAATTTTGTAGACATCTATACCTAAGATACAGATTTATTGTAGTTAGAAAAGTACCTGTCGCTCTGTAGCTGTTTGGATTGTGGAGTACATATAAGTTTGTAGGAGGACGTACTGATGAAATCCGGAGAGCTACGCCAAGTCAAAAGGTTAGTGTCCGTAAACATTACAAGTCAGTTCCATATCAAAGAGTCTTCAGCTGATTGTCCCTGAACGCACCACTGCTTGACGACAACACTAAGCGACCGCCTGCCACGGATAGTGTTTCAGCTGCTAACAGCCCCTTCGCTCGTGTTTTGGTTTGGTTTTTACCTCTAATGTGGACTCATCATGAGGTGAGACACACAACAGGCTTGAATTTACACCTGTATCGTATTCTGGTGGAGCCGACAGCTCAGAGAAAGCTGCCACTTCGCCCGGAGCTAAGGCTAACTGCTAGCTCCATTTCAGCACCAGCACCTTTAATGTATGCGGAATGCGCAACCATTGCGGATGTGGTGCAGACAAAAATGCGCATCGATGCGACATAAAACAAAGGAAACGTCGCTAGAAACAGCGAGTATATGTTTTTCATTACTCCACACATAATAAAAGCGGTGTTGTGTTTTGTTTGTATTTCAGCTGTAAAGGCGAGTCTGGATGATGCTTCTCTGTCTGAGGAGAAAAATGGACATGTAGCACTCAGCCTCCTGTTTAATACAGTTGTTTTTAATAACATGAGTGCAATAGAGAATGAATAAAATGGACTTAAGAGGCTAGAATTTGCCATGATTGTCTGTGGAACCATTCAGATAGTACTGCATGGTTCTTTTATTTATATACCTTTAAAACTGCTGATAAAACAGCAATTTAATGTACTTAACTTGTACATTTCCTAAAAGAAAGAGAGAAATTTCCCAGTTGAAGCTGAGCCCACAGCAGAGTCTGATCATGTTGATGGAGTAGCAACACCTCAAGCTTTTAAACTCGAGCTAATGGGGCAGAAGCTGTCAGAATCAGAATTGGCCCACCAGTCAGTTCTGCTGTAAAGTCAGGTCTGATCCATGACTGAGTACTACGAGGAGGGGGGGCTGCTGTATGAGCAATCACCTCCCATGCACATCAAAGTGGAGTCTCCAGAGGGACCCTTTGGAGGGGGAGCTTCAGAGAACGGCTTCCCCAGGGAGGATGAGGACTCGGAGGGCAGCTGCGACCAGAACCCGACCTTGCCTGGTGGACTCCCCTTCAATGTGGTAGTGGTGCATCCGAACATCATGGCGCCTGGCATGTCCTCAGACGACCTCTTGTCCATTGAACAAAGTAAGCCAGAAGCAAATGAGCCCGGGGGTGGGGGGGGGGGGGGGGGGTAAAGAACCCATTAAGAATGCTTAATTAATTTTAGGTGTGTAGCTGTAGCATGTGAAATGATCCAATTCATTTTCATTTACTTTTAAGGACCCACACGTTCCTGAAACCCTTTAAGCATTATCTTGATCAATAGTTGTTGTTGTTTTTTTTTCCCACAGACTTCGAAAGGTTTTCTTTGGTGTGTCACTGCTGTTATTTAGCTCCTTTCAGTCCAGTGAATGAATCTCTGGAGCATAAAACGAGGCATCTAAGTTGAGGGTTGAACCTGTGTTGTATCAATATACAACAAACATGGAGTGCCATGAAAGTGCTGAAGTGTGAAAGAAGCACATTTTATCAGTAGACTCTTGAATTTAGTTTAGTTGGATCAGTAAGAAAGGCCATTGATGTGTATCTGGAATTTGTTATTGTAGAAAGGATTTTTCACAGGACTACTTGGTCAATATTAGACATATCTGGATAGTGTGTACAGTGTGTCCTAACAATTGGAGGATAATCAACACGAAAATGAAAAGTAAAATAGTTATTTTTAAGTAAGAAAAACAAAGATTGGGCACATAACCTACAAAATGCATCTTAAAAGTCTTATGTCTCTTGCAACCAATGAGCCATGCGTTCTCGTTTTGTGGCACTTTCAAACATCACGTTTATTTTTATGTGCACAGCTTACAAAACTGTATATTCTTGGCCGTGCAAATTATTTCATTGCCCACCTCCGCCCACATCATACCTCAGCTCGCTTTGTACCCACCTCATCAGCCGCCTCCATATTCATGATTTCTACTAGTGTACACTGTTAAAATGAAAATAGCCTTAAAAATGTTTGAAAGACCTTCAGAAAGCCTGTAGAACTACTGATCGAGACAGTTTTAAAAGATTACAAGAAGGTTGTTTTCGTTTGAAGCAAAATATAAAACAATCCATTAAAAAAAAGTCAGCTCAAGACTTTTACACTGTAATGTGTGTAATTTAAGGAATGCCAAGGTAAAAAGTGTTAACTGGATATGTTTTGCTTTAACGAAGTAAAGTCTTAGTTCATCCCGGCTGTCTGTTCACCTTTCTGTTCGCAGACAGAGCCATGTCAGCTGCACTGGCTGCTGGCAGCGCAGGCAAGCGGAAGAGTCGTTTCAGCGGAGCAGAGCTGGAAGTGTTGGTGTCTGAAGTCACTCGGTGTGAGGGCGAACTCTTCGGTCCTGCTGGGAGACTCCGGCGGCGAGAAAGAGAGCGAATCTGGGCCGGAATCTTGGAAAGAGTCAACGCCGTGTCCAGAGTGCCGCGCACCCTTCGAGAGGTGAAGAAACGCTGGGACGACTTGAAGAGGCGAAATGGAGGCAGGCTGGCGGACGCTCGTCATCGCAGCTGTTATCTACCATCCAGCAGGGCAGCCTCGATGCTCGGATGTTCCTCCCAGCCAAGCCCCAGGCTTCAGCAAACAAGGCAGAAGCAAAGCATCAGACCAAAGCCCAGCTTCCCTTGCTTCCCTGACTCAGACGCAGGTAAAAACACGAGTATTTTAGAAGTCGTGTTTTGTAGATCTATGAGCCCAGCTTACACCTACCTTGATTTTGTCCTCTTCCTACCTCCAGGTGTAGGAGTGGAGGGATCAGAAAGAGACTGTTTGGAGAAAGAAGAGGACAATCATGAGCGTGACATAGGAGAACCAGAGTGTGACCCAGTAGACAACAGCATGGATGACAAACTGGGATTAGGACTGGGTCTGGGAATAGGACCGCCCCCTCCATCTGAACGATGGCTGCCTCCTTCTCCTCTCTACAGTGCTCCTTTTCTCAATGGCAGCCCTCAGCCCAGCAGTCCCCAGACATCACTCGGAGCACAGCAGGGTCCTCTGGAAGCCCCCCCACGTAGCTCCTGGCTTGAGGATGAGCTTCGAGGGTTAGGGGAAGCTGCCATTCAGCTGGGAAATCGGGTAGAAAAGAGCCTCCGGGAATTCGGCGAAGGTTTCACGCAGGACATGAGAACTCTCGTGGCGTCACAAGAGGCGTTAGCGCTCAGTCTGCAACAAAACAATGTCCTTCTGCAAAGGCTTCTGGGAGTGCTCGAAGCCCAGCAACAACCACAGCCTCAGCAACATCGTGCGCAACAAGTGCACTCGTCCCAAACGCCTCAACAGCACTTACAGCATCTCCAGCCTTTAGAACCGCAGCAGCAGCTGGCTGAAACACCGCAGCACTCACATGTTGCACACCAACAGGCACAGCAGCACCAAACACAACTACAACAGCCACACGCCACCCAGCATTTGAATAATCACTCGGCTGCAGCGGTGGCACCTTCATCCCCAGGTATACACGGCACTTTTTCTTCCGATCCAATCGTGGGCACAAACAGAAACGTCCAGAAGCCACGGCGAGGGAGAGCTTTGGACCACAGGCGCAGAAGACGGCGCTGAGAATGTATTTAAGAACTTTACACAACGCATATTTGATGTTTTAAAAATGTGACATGTAACAATGCTCTTTTCATTTGCAGTACTTCAGTAATGATTAATAGTTACGGTTAGTTAAGTTGTCTCACTTCACATCTGTAACTCATTTTGTAATAGGTTTGTAAATCTAGAAGGACTGAAGCAGCTTGGATAAGTTGACACAAGACAATAGGGTGGCCTTAACAATACCTTCATTTCTCATAAACGTGTGCATACGCTCGTGCGAAAAGACTTTACAGAAAACATTTGGAAAAATGGAGTGACAGTTTCACTCTTGAAATTTTCCGTGCTCCGAAAAATGTCAGACTGCAGTTGCTGTTGCTCATTATGCACATTTTCTTGATGCTCTTAACAGTTCGACCCATTTCTCCTGACTAACTGTTGCCCAGAAAGTATGTGTAATTTGCAGTTGTTGCCATATAATGTAGTTTTGCAGCCATTGTAGTTACCTGCTAATGTATACTTGTGCTTTTTTTTAAAACTTGGGGAGCATTTTTATGCCTTCACTGAATAGAAACAAAGGGTAAGAGAAAATGTTGAGTGATATTTAAACAGAACTGTTGCCTCTTTGAGCGTCGATCCCCTGAGAACTGAGTCACCTCATCATTTTTTGTGATTTAGTGGTTTCAGACAAAAACACGTCCAAGTTTTGATTGGACTCTAAAGTCAAGCTGTGTTAGACAAAAATGCTATATTTTAACAAATTTAAAGTTTTTGAAGATGTTGAAAATGCCACATGGGAACTTTACAGTATGATTCAGATTTAAATTTGTATTTATTGTGGATTTTAAAAGGGGCTACTGATGATCTTGCATGCAGTATTATGGATGTTTGTGCATAGCTGCAAAGAATCATATGGCCATCATCTATGTAGTTTTGCACAAGTTATATTTTGTAGATAGGTACTGTTCTGATGAAATGTAACTAAACCTAATAAAAAAAATGGACTGCACAAGTAAAAGTCAGTTTGTCACAGCGCATAATTAAGTTTAAAAGTTTTCTTACGTTAACTGAAGTTGTAAAGAAAGAGTTAAGTGTGTAGAACAATATCACCACAACAGTAGTAAACTGGAAATGTATAATTTAAAGCTTCAGGTCGTGTTTTCTTCAATAATGAATTCACATCTGGTTGTCAATTGGAGCCGTTTTATTTTGAAGGTTCCGACCGGAAATTCTTATCCTGGCTCGCGTCGCACGATCCAAGTGTTGCTCTGGACTGGAGGGGAGAGGGGGGGTTGTATGGGTGAAACATGGCCGCTGTAGACCCATCGAAGTCTCCGAACAGAGAGAAAACCCCCACGGTGGAGGTGGGAACATCTGGGGAGAAGGGCGAGGCGGCGGAGTCGGGGTGTAGCGTCGGGAGGGAGGACGACGGAACCGCGGGGAGCCCGGACGGTGAGCGGAGAGCCGAGGCTGCCGCCACAGGAGCACACAAAACGACATGCGCCTCACCAGAGGACCCGACCGCGGCCGAAAAGATGGCCGAGGCCCCTGGCATCCGGCAGCGGGCTTATGACTGGTCAGGGACTGAAGAGGACGACGACGAAAGGGCCAAGACGGAGGAAAATAAACGCGGTGTGTATTTTTACCAGTTAGCTCGCGAGCTAACCCGAGCGTTGCTGCTTGGTGTTTATCATCGTAACAGCACGAAGCTTCTTGGTCCCTCACACTGAAACACATGCATTTACGTTTTTAACCTGTTTAAAACGTCATGCAGTTGAGGCAGTTCACCGCAGGGTACGAGCTGTGCCCACCGGGGTCGGTTTCTTTCCTCCATGATGTGAAGACAAACTAAAACAATCGTCAGTAAACTCCCGAGTTTTACGATCCTCCCAACACTTTTCAGTGTAATGTCTCCCGTGTGCAGGCATGACTGTAAATCATGTTCATTCACACACTCACAGGATGTAAACAAACAAAAAAAACATTTGTAGTCCTGTACCATTAGCAAAACTGTCCCAATTAAAAAGCCTAGCACTTTGAGGAACGCACCTGCGTAATATATCGCTAAAATTAGAAACGTATCTAAAAATGATGCAGAAAAACTGGTTCATGTATTTGTCACGTCTAGACTGGACTATTGCAGTGGTTTATCTGGGTGTCCAAATACTTCTTTAAAAAATAAAAAAAAAGTCCATGCTCAATAATCCAGGTATACAATCCAACAATTTTCAGTCAGTTTATCTGGACAGTTTCCTGACAGTATGACCTGACTGAAAATTGTTGGATTGTGTACCTGGATTATTGAGCATGGACTTTTTTTGGTTTTGAACCAGTTTGACATGACTGTCAACGAGGAAGAGGGCCGGCACCGGCGGAGGGGGCGTGCCAAAGACACCATCTTAGCACCAACATAACTGGTTTGTTCCACTTTGGAGTAAGCTGTTTGGGGGAAGAATCAGTTTTGTGTTGTGTGTTTCCTTGATTGATGAAGCCTTCTGGATGGAAGGTGAAACGTTTCAGCACAAAAAAAAGAAACTGTCCAGATGACCTGACTGAAAATTGTTAAAATCTTTTTAAAAAAAAAATCTTCAGTTAATTAAAATGCTGCTGCCAGAGTCTTAACTGGAGTTAGTGGGAGAGGTCATATCTCTCCAGTTTTAGCTTCTCTCCACTGGCTCCCTGTCAAATCCAGAATTCAATTCAAAATCCTATTTCTAACCTACAAAGCCCTCAACAACCTAGCTCCATTTTATATTACAGATCCTATTGTTCCATATTTTCTTAACAGCACTTCACTCTCAGACTGCAGGTTTAGTTGTGGTTCCTAGAGTTCCCAAAAGCAGAATAGGAGGAAGATCTTTCAGTTATCAGGCTCCTCTCTTGTGGAAACAACTTCCAGTTTCTGTCCATAAGGCTGACACATTGTCCAGTTTTAAGACTGGGATTAAGACTTTCCTTTTTGATAAATCCTATAGTTAAGGTTGGCTTGTTATGCTGCTGTAGGCTTAGTCTACTGGAGAACAAATTGACCTCATTTCTTAAAATGAATTGTTACAATTGAATAGTTTTCATTTGAATTTATTTCTATTTTAACATGTGATTCACGACCTGCCATTGTGTATCTGTTCCTCCTTCCTGTTCCTATTAAACCCAGCCAGTCGAAGCAGATGGACACTTGTCCTGAGCCTGGTTCTGCTAAAGGTTTCTTTTTCACAAGGGAGTTTTTCCTTTCCACTGTCGCCTTCATGCTTTGCTCAAGATGAGAGTCCACGATGAAGTTAGGCTCAAAGCAGTCTGCTCCTCAGATAAATAATGTTATAAACTTTTTAAATACTGGTATGAATGTTTCTGTTCAGTGCCCTGAGATGACTTCTGTTATGACTTGGCGCTATATAAATAAACTGAATTGAATTAACCAAAAAAAAAAAGTTAAGTCGGGTTCTCTGAATGTGTTAAAAAAATAAAGTCGTAGAAATGTTTCGTCTTTCATCTGAAAGACTTCTTCAGTTTGAGGAACTGTACTCAGCTCAGTCTGAATTGAATTGAACTTTTGCGGCCAGCGTTTTAAACTAAAACCTTGTTCTGAGGAGGAATGATTGGATTATAGCTGCCAAATCTGGAATATTTCATATGTTGCCTTATCAAGGTCAAGGTGTCTTTATTGTCATTCACATGTGATACATGAGGTGGAACCAAACAATCTACACAGGGTCCCAGTTACATCCAACAAAAATACAAATTGTAAAGAAAAACACTAATAAGATGTAAGCTATGAACTAAGAAATTTGCTAAACTAGGAATATTTGTGTTATCTTGTGTGATCTGGCTCCAGAAGTTGATAATTGGTAGATGTGCATTCAATGATGATTTTCAGTCCATTGGTTCATGAGATATTTTGCTAACAGACATGCATAGGCAAACACTTTATCTGGTTTTGCTTTTTGGCAGCAGATGATAAAAATAAATTATGTTGTTTTACTCAAGATGTTTAGAAAAATAAGTTTGAACTACGAATGGTCAAAAGTTTAATATTTTTTGTAAGTCTTAATTTTTTTTCCAATTGTTCAAAAATAAAGAGGCGTTCTTGCAGTTTTTCTCTGGATGAAAGTGTCAGGAGCAGATTAACGGATCTATTTTTACTTCCCCTGCTTTTGAAAATGACCTCCTTTCTGCTCTAATGTATAACTGATGACCGTCCATGCCATGAAGGCTGTTACATGACAGTGAATGGTCAAAACTAAATAAAGGAAGGACATACTTCTCATACATCTAACACTAAATCAACGTTTTCTTACTCACAAATATTACTTTAGACACAGTTCTTAAAAAGAAACAACAAAGATCTTAAAAACAAAGTGAATTTCTTGTGTTTTGGTACATTTTTATGTTTTTAGGTGTCCTAAAAGTTTAAAAATGTAATGGACGTATAATCCAGCTCCTAAAAGGAAAATTATTTAATTATGTGAATGCTTATGAATTCAATTCATTTTATTTATGTAGCGCCAAGTCACAACAGAACTCATCTCAGGACACGGAACAGAAACATTCATATACATAAAAGTAAGTTAACATTATTTATCTGAGGAGCAGACTGAGTCCAATTTCATCGCAGATTCTCATCTTGAGCAAGCATGAAGGCAACAATGGAAACGGGAAAACTCCCTCATGAGGAGGAAACCTTCAGCAGAACCAGGCTCAGGACAAGCGTCCATCTGCTTCGACAGGCTGGGTTTGAGAGGAACAGGAAGGAAGAACAGATACACAAAATAGGTATGTTTACATGGGCATTAGTAATCGGATTAAACGGCCTTTCAGAATTAAAATGCGTCATCTTAATGCCCCATTCGGATTATTCTGAGCTGATTCAGCTCACTCTGAATGAATTTGTAATCCGAATGAGGGGTGGTTTATGCTGATTCATAATCCGCACGGTGTGCATGTAAACACTTAATCTGATCATTTTATTCTGATTGTGGAAAACTGACCTGACTGCGCATGTGCGACCTATGTCAACCTTACGTTTTGGCAGGTCGAGAGTCACAGGTTAAGATAGAAATAAATTCAAATGAAAACTATTCTATTGTAACAATTCATTTTAAGAAATGAGGTCAATTTGTCTTCCAGTAGTCTAAGCCTATAGCAGCATAACAAGCCGACCCTAACTATAGGATTTATCAAAGGAAAGTCTTAAGCCCAGTCTTAAAACTGGACAATGTGTCAGCCTCATGGACAGAAACTGGAAGTTGGTTCCACAAGAGAGGAGCCTGAGAACTGGAAGATCTTCCTCCCATTCTGCTTTTGGAAACTCTAGGGACCGCGAGTAAACCTGCAGTCTGAGAGTGAAGTGCTCTGTTAGGAAAATATGGAACAATAAGATCTGTAATATAAGATGGAGCTAGGTTGTTGAGAGCTTTGTAGGTTAGAAGTAAGATTTTGAATTTATATCTGGATTTGACAGGGAGCCAGTGGAGAGAATTTAAAACTGGAGAGATATGATCTCTCCCACTAACTCCAGTTAAGAATCTGGCAGCAGCATTTTAATTAACTGAAGACTTTTAAAGAAGTATTTGGACACCCAGATAACAAACCATTGTAATAGTCCAGTCTAGACGTGACAAATGCATGAACCAGTTTTTCTGCATCATTTTTAGATGAGATGTTTCTAATTTTAGTGATAATACGCAGGTGGAAGAAGGAGGTTCTAACGTTTTTAATGTGGGGGATAAAAGACATGTCCTGATCAAAAATAACACAGAGGTTTTTAACATTAGAGCTGGAGGACAGATTAATAACATCGAAGGAGGGAGAAAGACTGAAAAATTTATTTATAAGGTTCTCAGGTCCAAAAACCAAAACCTCAGTCTTGTCTGGTTTAAAAGCAGAAAATGTAGGGTCATCCAGGTTTTTATGTCTTTAAGACATGCTAGTCTGAGTAACTGATAGGATTCATTGGGTTTCATGGACAAATATGTAGGGGAATGGATAGGTTGAAATATATGTTTATCAATTATAAGTTAAGCTCATAATATGTAAATTTGTAAGTAACTAACCTAGTTTGAACACCACTTTCCCTTAGAGACGAAAAATAATGTTTCTAATCATGAATTATTAATAAAATGAATCATTCTCAACCCCAAAAGTGAACGTGAATTATTTTCCCGTTTAAAAGAGATTTAATCAATTAATACACACAGATGAGCAAAAATAATCACAGATTCAGTTATTTTTATTTATTTTATTATAGAAATGATCTATAATAACTATGAATATGGAGTATATGCATAACAAAGGTACCAAATATCACATGAAAAATTAATGAAACTTAAAGAGACAGAGTTTAGGACTTGTCAAGGTCAAGGTTTCTTTGTCATTCTCATCATATGTGGTACATGTGATGGAACGAAATTGTGTACGTAGGGTCCCAGTTACATCCAACAAAAGTATAAATTGTAAAGAAAAAAAACGTAATAAGATCTAAGATATGAACTAAGAAATACGCTAAACTAAGAATACGCTAAGCACTAATAAAACAAAACGATACGCTGAACAGCAGCACAAACATGAGTCTGTATGAGCAGATGAGCACGAATGAACACAGCAGCATGAAATAAATCAGCAGCATGAGATCAGCA